GCAGAGGGGGGGGGGGTGATGGTGGTGATGGGCTGGAGGGGGTGATGGGGAGGGGGTGAGTGATGGGGATGGGGAGGGGGTGGGTGATGCGGGGTGATGGGGATGGGGTGAGTGATGGGGGAGCGATGTGATAATGGGGAGGGGTGGGTGATGGAGGAGGGGAGGTGACAGCGAGTCGAGGCAATGTTAGTGGTGAGGGAGGAGCTCATAGTGGGTGGCGCTAAGCTCTGACAGCCATGGGATTTTCCCGGTGCTACAAATAGCTCCGGTTGGGCCACTCGTATTGCCGCTGGTGCTCGGTATTTCCACTATTGCACAGGCAGTAAAATGAAAGTACTGGCGGAATCCGACACTCGCGAACAACGAGCAACAGGCAGCCGGCGAGAGAGCACGGAGGAGACCCCAATCAGAGGTGCGCGCGTGCGTGTGTACAGGTGTGTCGATTCGGGCTTCATGGAGTACCTGGTGTGGTGTTTAAAACACCTGCACTGGGAAGACAAAGGCTGTCTGCCAGGCGTGGTGCCTACCGCACCGCTCCCTCGTGTGCCGTGCCGGCCTTCATAGGCGCTTGCTTACAGCACTTGCACCAACAACAGTCTGGTAAGGCTATACGGGGGGGGATCTTTTGTCTTTGTATCCCGTGACCTGTCGGCGAACCTTTTTCACCCTCTTCGAGGTCTCAACGTGCACCTAGCCTGGCATCAGAGCCGTGGTGACATAACCGCCACTAAGTGGTGAACGCCGACTGTTGTATTCTGGAGGCAGATGGGGTTAGGTGCCAATGTGTGGAGGTGTGGGTGTGTGAAGACGTTTGTTTGTGTGTGTGTAGGGGAGTGGTGGCGCAGTGGTTAGAACACCCGCAGTACGAACCTGGCGGCCCAAGTTCAATTTTGCGAACCACTCCTAATGTCGGTGGCGAGTGATTTCTGAACTGGTTCTGGGTTTCCGCGACCCCAAATCGGCCGTAATTGATACCTGAACATCGGCATTGGAGAGACAAACGTGGGCTGATGTGGTGTTGCCCACACTACCCTCTCATGAATTTACCTTGCTCGCCTAATAGGTGGTCCAGAAATGGAATCTATAAGGCTAAACGGGCAAGTGTGTGTTTTGTGTAGGATTGTTCGAATGTATATTTTATTACTACCAGAAATGACATCGAAATATCAGGTTTGCCGTACGCGCAGAAGTGTCCAGCAATAAACGACAATATAATTCGAGTTTTACCTTTTTTGAAACTGGTGTCGTGGTCTGTGCACTGCGGCTTGCGATCCAGAGGTCGCCGGTTTGATTCCATCTCCCTGTACGGCGGTCCCTGTCCCAACCCCCCCCATCCCCCCACCTCAAGCGGTGTAAATTGATGAACCACAGTGGTTCGCTCCGCAAGTCGCCACGGTGGCTAGGAGATGTTAACTACCTCGCCTGGTACGCAGGAGGTCGTGAGTTTGATCCCGACCCTTAACGCCTGCTGTATGTTTGGAGTTTGCGCGTCTCTCCCTCGTGGATGTGTGGATTTTTCTCTGGGTCCTCCAGTTTTTCCTCCGGAATATTTTTTTGCTGATTTTACATTTCCACACGTTGATAAGCCACTCCATTGAGCTGTCATTTGTTATAGCCAGGTCGCTTCTGGAAAAAAAAAGAGCTACACTTAGCTCAGAAAGGGCCATACCTGGTGAAATAGAAACAATATTTGAGTTTAGTTTTAGGTCACGGCGTGTGGGCGGCATAGTGAGGTTCGGCTATTCAAGCCTATTGGTGGCTGCGGATGTGTGGACCAAATTCAGCAGCCTGTAGAAGCCCTCGCAAGTGGTATTGGTCCTCCTGCCAGCAGTGGCGGTGAGCGGGGCAATTGCAGGGCCGCACCCTTTAACCCCTTCGCCGCTGAGAAACGAGCCACGGAATTTGCCGTGCGGTGGTGTCTCGGCTCAGTCTCCCACCTAGCGCCGCTAAACAACTCTTGGCCTCTCCTGTGTTGGTTGTCACGTGGTGGTCCGGGTCGACTTTCACCACTAGGGAGACAAAGGTGGCCAGCCATGTGTGCTGCTGCTGCTGCTGTTCATCGTGTGTCGCCTTGTGTTTTCATAACCTTAATAGCTGCTCCAGAACAGTCCTTACCTTAGCCATTATAAACCATAAATCTTTGTGTAACTACCGTGTGCACGTTGTGTCTTTGCGTTGGTGTGTGTGTGTGTACAGTGGGAGTGTAGTGGTTAGTACACTGCGCTACGAACCCAGTGTCCTGGGTTAGATTCTCGCTCACGGCCACCAACACCGGTGACGATTGTCTGAACCGGTCCCAGGCCTCCCCTACCGAGGTCCACTCAGCCACAGATGAGCGCTTGGTGTACGGTGCGTTAGCATCGCCACTGGGGAGACGAAAGAGGTCGGGTGTGGAGCTGACCATCCACCCCCTCGTGTGCCGTGCCGGCTGTCGTAGGTGCTCGCTAAAAGCACTTGCCCCAAAAGTCTGCCGAGGCTATACGGGGGATCTTTGTCTCTGTATTAGTTGTGGGTTTTGCCCGCTTTTATTAGCTTTAGCATCACACTCCAATGGACTTGGTTCACCGATTATGATGCTGGTATATTTGAAGTGTTTTAGCGTGAGAGCCGGAATGCAATGTTAGAACTGTAGTCCGGCCCCCCCCCCTCGTGAGTCGATTTAGGAAAAGACGAAGTTGAGCACTGCGAGGGAATTGTTGAGTCTCGTCCACGTGGCTGTCTGCACGTCGGTGGGTAGGGTTGGGGTGGGGGCGTGGTCCGGGGGGGGGGGCGTGGTCGGGGGCGGGGCGTGGTCGGGGGCGGGTTCTGCCAACGCGTAACGGTTTTGGCTGAGCCGAGTGCTGCACCTCCGCTGTTTGTGGGCGCCACGGTGGCTAGGGGATGTTAACTACCTCGCCTGGTATACAGGAGGAGCGTGGGTTCAACCCCCGAGCCTGACGCCCGCTGTATATTTGGAGTCTACGTGTCTCTCTCTCTCTCCCCGTGGTCGCGTGGATTTTTGTCCGGTTCCTCCGGTTTTTCCCTCCGCATTTAGAATTAACGTGTGTTTAGACTTTAGAGTATACGGACTCGAATGCCACCCACTTTTGTCCGTTTATGCCTTGGTGCGTTCGCTCAGGGCCTCGCGTTCCCATCGTAGCTCCCGACGCACGGCTCCGCGGCTTTCGCCCCGCGTCGCAGACATTCGCCCACATGAACCTGGATATCGCGGCTAGGGGCCCGGCCCAAATGCACCGACGCCATCGTTGATACGGACTCGAATGCCACCCGCGAATCGCAGACGCAGCCCCTCGGTCGCGATCGCGTAACTCCTCTCCGCGAAGCAAACACGACAAGCGGTTGCTTCTCATTCACGCATCGAGAGCCCAAAGGCGTTAACGGCACATGGTGCGTAAGCGGCGATTGCACAACGCGGCCCCAATGTCAGAGGCAGACACGCACCGCCAGGGCGGTCCCCGGTTGCCTGGGCGCGCAGCATTCGGCAGCCGTCGACGGGGAGACCGCCGGCTCTCCTGGACCACCGGGAGCATGCAGCTGTAGCCCAGTGGGTTCTGTGTGTACGCACCGTACGTAAGTGGGCCGTGCTAATCGGAAAGGACAACAGACTAAACACAGAAAGCCGTTCTAAAGAAATGAGTTGTCAATGTAGATGACTTAAAAATGCATAGCTCCTGGCAGCTTTCTAATATCGGATAGGAAGAACGTTCCAGACGGCCGCAGAAGCGCATATGAAAGCTCGCGATGCGGTGTGCGAGTCCGTGGGTCTCTTTGTGATGAGTTTATGGCTTTTTGTACGAGTCTATGGGTCTCTGTGTAAGTACGTATGTTGAACTTCTTTCCGCGCCGTATGTAGTCGACCGTGACAGTAAGAGCATTCCAGACGGCCGCAGAAGTGCATCTGAAAGGGCGCGATGCGGTGACAGCCCTGTGGGGAATTTGGCCTCAATACGCCGGCTCGGTAGCAACCAACCTATCAAGGGCTCGCCATCGGAAGAAATGGCATAGGCTGTTAACGGGACTGGGGATGGTTTTTCAACGCAATGGAAATCTTTATTGCTAAACGTAAGCAACCCTGTGAAGCATATCAAGCACCTAATACTTATGCAAGTGAATAACGCATTAATTAGGATACGTTTTATCTTACCCTAAACGCTATGAAATGAAATAAATAAATATCAGAAGGTGCCATGCGTAGTGTGTGCAGCAAACTCCACCTGTGGTGGTTCTGTAGAGTGCTCAACAGCCCTGGCGATCCCGGCATGTTTGACGCCATCCATAAAGTCGATTGCACCCGGTACACGCAGCCGATTGTGCACTAAACTGTACTGCATGCGTTGAGCATGACACAGAGAGACAAACTGCATGGCAAATCATTGTGCGAGAGCCAATACTGGTCCTGTTGTCTCAGCTATGCGGGAGACTGGCCAGAATTATTTTATTATTGGACCAACATCAGTCTAGAAAAATGTTTTTCTTCCTGTCATATTGGCCTTCTAGGCTCGTGTTAACTAGAAGGCATTTGTTGAAGCAGGCAAACGCTGGGCTGGTTTTTGACCTTGTGGTGCTCGTCGGCAGAGTCTTGACAAAACCATTCGTGAGTTTTGTGTTGGAATAGACGCTCGTAGGCCTGGAAGGCCAATCGTCTAAAATGTTTGATCTTAAGTAAATGTGTAGCTTTGGAAAGAGAGCTTATATTCATTTCACATGTTACTTTATAAGCAGTCTCATGGTGATGCTACTAACACAGGGTGGTGCGCCGCTAGCTGCGAGAATTCTAAATGGAGATGTTTTTTTCATTTTGTCTCGTGACAAGTACGGCACAATTGAAATATAAACGGCAACATTTTACAGAGGTGACATCTGTACTTGAATGAATGAGCTGGCTTTCTCCACCGTGCACACGCGGGCCCACCGGCCACTGTGAGGGCAGCTTCATCTCTTGCCCACGCGGCCGCACCAGCCAGGTTCCTCTATTCACCAAGCGTCGTTGTGTTGTGCAGTGGACGCGCCGGCGGCTGTAAGACCGCATGGCTGCACTGCTGCCAGGAGTCGGGCCTTCAACCCAGGCCTCGTCACTGCACACACTCGTTAAGGACGGCGCCCCGATCTCCTCCTACCTCCCAGCCAGGTGAGCAGCCACGTCGCCTCTCGCTCCACTCGCTCCAAACGTCTCGCACCTCAACCCACTCAACCCTCTCAACCCTCTCAACCCACTCACCACTCAACCCTCTCAACCCTCAACCCACTCACCACTCAACCCTCTCAACCCTCTCAACCCACTCACCTCTCAACCCTCTCAACCCTCAACCCGCTTCCACCCTCAACCCTCTCTCATCGCAACCCTCACTTTATACCGCTTTCCCCTCCCACCTCACCCCTCCCACCTCACCCCTCCCACCTTCACCCCTCCCACCTCACCCCTCCCACCTCACCCGACTCGCCTCTTAACCCTCTCCACTCTCAACCCTCAACCCTCTCAACCCTCACACGGCAACCCTCACCAACTCGCTGGTAGCGAGCAGGTCACGAAACCTCATTTTGCTTACTTTGTAGATTTCCGTGTGCGAGTGCTAACACGTCAAAAAAGAACTTAAGACAAACACCCTAACATTTTATATTCTTGACGATAGAAGCCACTTAGACCAGGGCGGGTGGGGGGGGGGGGGGACCTTCATCCAGCAGCAGGAGTGACCCGTGGCCGATGACGGCGAACGATTGCACACGTGTGCGCACGTGCGAGACGCGTGCGGGGGACGCGTGCGGACATGTGCTGGACATGTGTGTGGACGCGTGTCGGCGTGCACAGCGTGGGAGGGGAGGCGCCCACGTGCGGCTACCGGGAACACTTTGTGCACCCGCCCGAGGACAAGTACCGCTGTGAGCTGTGCCGCCTGCCCCTGCGCGACCCCCGGCAGACCGAGTGCGGCCACCGCTTCTGCGAGCCCTGCATCCGGCCCGTGCTCAGGTGAGTGCTGGCGACCATGACGACGTCGATGTGTGGTAGGCACGTGTGTCCGTTGAACTTATTTCGCACCGTACGTAGCTGGCCGTGCTAATCGGAGGTGCTGGGGGAAGGGCAGCAAACTAAACACAAAGCAGTTCCAAAGAAATTAGTTTTCAATCGAGATTGTTTTTCAGTGCACAGCTCCAGTGGCTTCCTAATATCAGATGGAAGAGCGTTCCAGACGGCCGCAGAAGCGCATCTGAAAGCGCGCGCGATGCGGTGTGCGAGTCCGTGGGTCTCTGTGATGAGTCTGTGGGTCTCTCTGTAAACACGTATATGTTTAACTTCTTTCACACCATACGTAGGGGAAGGACAACAAAATAAAACACAATGATTGCAGGGATTTATTTCAACTGGGCCTGTCCGGAAAATGTTGCCACATCCGGCACACCACGTCCAGCAAACCTCTCGAAGTGTCTGTATCTGCCTGCGATCCAGAAAATATGCCATGAGAAGTGAAGCCCTGTGTGAGTGTATATGTGAAATTAATGGTGTTGGGTGAACGATCGGTAGTGTGTGTGTGTGTGTTTGTTGGATTGGTGGCCTGTGTGTGGGGGGGAATGGTAGTGTCATTGTTAGTGCACTTCGCTATGAACCCACTGACCCGAACAGCACTTTCCCCTTCAGTCTGCATAGACTACACGGGCGATCTTTGTCTTTGTGTAAATGATGGACGGTGTGTGTGTGTGTGTGTTCATTTTGGGTGATGTGTGTTCAGTTGGGAGTGTGTATCAAGAGCCGTGTGTGCCTCCAGCTGCATGTGAGTGTGTACGCTCGTAGAGTGGTCGCCGCCGCGACTTTAATGGTGCGTGTTAAGCGGTGAGCGCTGAATGCGGATGTCTGTTCGCCGATTCGTAAAAAAAAATGTTTGGAAACGACGTCGCGTTGACGCCACGATAGCGTGCCCGCCGTGACCATAGCTGCTAAGTACTGCACGTTAACCTTCGTGCGAGTCGCGTGCTGTGATTGGGCAACCCCCTGACGTAAACTGCCGTTGTGCATGGGGTTGGTTATTTCTCCACAGTAAAGCAACACCGGCATGCCCAGTCGACAATGAACTCCTTCAGCCGGACAAGGTGAGCACACTCGAGCACGTGCACACTCACGTTCACCTGCTCTCACTCCTTTTTAACACGTAGGCTCACTGCTACTGATTCACACGCACACAAAGACAAATACCCCCCGCCATGTAGCCTTAATGGAAAATTGGGGAAAGTGCTGTTAACGAATGCGGTAGGGGGGGGTTGTGCATGATCAGCCTAGCGCCTTTTTATTCCCGGTGCTGATGTTTAAGCACTGCCCTAGTTACTCATTTCAGGCTGAAGTCCACCTAGAGGAGTTTCAGGACCAGTTCGGATATTTGCCACGAACGTTTGCCATGGACGGGAATCGAACTCCGGATTTGGAGCACGGTGCACTAATGACCGTTACGCCATCGCTAACACTTACATTCGTTCAAAAACAGACTGTCATACACCTGCCAAAGCTTCGACGTTTGCAAATGTGCACGCGTCACAAACAACTAACTGTTAGACGCGCGTTTTATCATACTTGTCACGAGCTTATTGTTACGCGTGGCCTAGATGCTACGAGATGCTACAACAGTGCGCGGGTGATGTGGCCCAGCATTAGAGCGTTGGCCGCTTGGTGCAAGCGTTCACGGTTTCGAATCTGACAGGCCGCCCTGGTTAATACTGCGTGTGTGTAATAACCGTAAAAGATCCCGTGAATTAATTTGAAATGAGCAGCCCATTCTGTGCCAGTGTCACGGTCCATGCTTTTGGTCCGAAGTGAAAAGATTTCCTGCAATTGGTTCAATTGCTGGGAAAACTGCTGCAGATTACGTCTCTGAAACGGCTCCTCTGTGGGAGCTTTGCGCGCGCCAAGAATGGTGCTTAATTTCAAACGTACTCCATTATTATTGCACTTGCTATTGTTGCGTATGGCATGTGTGTATGGCGTACACGCTGTGCCGTGACCTGACGTGCGACACACACACACACACAGGTGTTCCGGGACAACTGCTGTCGCCGAGAAATCCTCGCCCTCCGCGTTCACTGCCGGAATGACACCGCCGGCTGCAAGCAGATCGTTGAGCTCGGCAAGCTACAGGTACGCGCTGACGTGCGTCGTGTGCGTGAACGCGCTTGTGCATTCCTGTGCGCAAGCGCGTTCACGTGTGTGTGTGTGTGTGCTTGACTCTGAGGAGCGGTAGTGTTGCGGTTAGTACGCTGCGCACTACACACCTGGCGACCACAGTTCGATTCCCGCTCAAGGCCACCAACACCGGTGACGGTTATCTGAACCGGTACCCGGGCATCCGCTAGGTCGACTCGGCCTCAAATGAGTACCTGGTGCGGTGGATAAAAACATTGCCACTGGGGAGACAAAGGCGGTCGGGCGTGGTGCTGGCCACCCATCCCCTCGTGTGCCGTGCCGGCCTTTTATAGGTGCTCGCAAACAGCACTTGCCCCAACAGTCTGTTAAAGGCTTAACAGGGGATCTTTGTTTTCCTGTGTATGTACGGAGGGCGGAAGAGCGACGCTGATGACATCGAGTAGAGTGCCAGGTGGCGGAGGCACGGCAGGTTTACACAGTGTGGAGCACAGGTGGTACATCTGCCGGTCATATAAGTCGGTTAACCCATAACACGTGGCTCTGTCCTGTGATCTCATGCAAGCGAGGTGCACATAACCTGGTATATAAGCTGCGGTGACGCCACCGCCACTTGGTCGGAAACGGCGTTTGTTGCCATTACCGTGGTTAGCTCAATCAATCGATCAATTGGCTCACTGCTCTTCCAACACGGCAACCCGAATTCGATTCCCGCTCGCGGATAATATCGGGTGACGAATATCTGAACGGGTCCTGGCCCTCCGCTTGGCCGACTCCGCTTGAAGCGACTTCCTTGTGCAGTTGGTGTGTGCGAGCATCGGCACTGGGGAGATGAAAGGCATCCCGGCGAGCCGCTGGCCCCTCACAGGTGCTTCCCGCTGTTCCTCACCGTCGCTCGCTCACAGCCCTGAGCCCAGCGGTCGGTGAAGGCTGTCGGAAAGATCTTTGCGTTTATCTTTCGCGTGCCTGTGCGTGATCAACGTGGGCGTGCGTGCGCACGCAGGAGCACATGGCGGTGTGTGTGCACGAGGCCGTGAACTGCCCGCACGCCGGCTGCACGGAGCGGCTGCTGCGGGGCGAGCTGGTGAACCACGTGGCCTTGGGATGTCACTTCCGTACCGAATCCTGCCGCTACTGTAATCAGCAGGTGCCCCTCGCCGAGAAGAGGGTACGTGCACGCACGCACGCACGCACACACACGCACACGCACGCGCTCGCTCGCGGACGTACGCACGCACTCGTGCATGCATCCGCTGGGATGACAACAACAACAGCAGCAGCAGCCGCCTTTCGCGCCTATGTGGCGGTGACGGAACCACAGCGCTTGTGCCACAGGTACGCACAGGTGTGTGTAAATACACACGAACAGCATAAATCAACACAAGGGGTACACAGGGACATGCATGAGTGACAAAGACCCTCGACAGACTTTTGGGGCAAGTGCTGTTAGCGAGCACCTATGAAGGCTGCCACAGTATACGAGGGGCTGGATGGCCGAGCAGCGATGTTTACACACCGCACCAGGTACCCAAAACCGGTTCAGATAATCGTCACCAGTATTGGCCGTGAGCAGGTGGGAGCGTCGTTCGGGAGTGCCGGATACCGGCGCGCTCGACAGCACCGCGGTGATGTGGCAGAGTGACCGGGGGGGGGGGGGGGGGGTGGGGGACGGCCTACGCGAAGACCAAGGTCTCTTGTTCACACCGTGTTCTCTCTCCATAGAAACACTACGAGACGCGCTGCCCCCGGTACCCCATCCCGTGCCCCAACAAGTGCGAGGAGCAGAGCATCGCGCGTGAGGAGGTGAGACTCTCGCAAGGGGACTTCGCATGAGCCTCGTGTGGACACGGACGCACACTCGCTCACTTTTACACACACGTGGGTACGGTCGCTCACACGCACGCTCACACGCACACAGGTACAATCGCTCACATCCACACACACACAGGTACAATCGCTCACATCCACACACACAGGTACAATCGCTCACATCCACACACACACAAGTACAATTGCTCACATCCACACACACAGGTACAATCGCTCACATCCACACACACACAAGTACAATCGCTCACATCCACACACACAGGTACAATCGCTCACATCCACACACACAAGTACAATCGCTCACATCCACACACACAGGTACAATCGCTCACATCCACACACATAAAAGACAAAGATCCCCCCTGTGCTGTTAGCAAGCACCTATGAAGGCTGGCACGGCAGACAACAAGGGGGTGTGTGACCAACAGCACGCTTGGCGCCTTTGTTTCCCCAGTGTTGATGATTACACACTGCACCAGGTATTAAATTTAATGGTGAGTCGGCTTAGGAAGATCCCCAGGACCGGTTCAGATATTCGCTACTGTTATTGGTCGTGAGCGGGAATCGAACTCTGGTTGCTGAGTTTCTTAGCGTAGTGCGCTATGACCAAGCATTAACAGTCATATGAATACAAGTTGATCAAGATACAAAGACAAAGATCCCCCGTATAGCCTAAACAGACTGTTGGGGGCAAGTGCTGTTAGCGAGCACCTATGAAGGCCGACACGGTACACGAGGGGGTGGGTGACCAGCACCACGCCTGACCGCCTTTGTTTCCCCAGTGGCATTGATTTTACACAACGAACCAGGTACTCATTTGAGGTTGAGTCGACCTAGGGAAGGCCCAGGACCGGTTCAGATAATTGTTACTGGTGTTGGCCATGAGCGGGAATCAAACTCGGGTCGCAGGGCTCGTAAAGCAGCGCGCTAACTGCTACACTACCGCTCGCACACCATATGCCCGCTCATCCACACACAGTCGTGTGTACTTGCTTACACTCAGAAGCACACTCGCTCACACAAAGACAAATACACGCACGCTCGCACACACAAAGACAAATACACGCACGCTCGCTCGCACAAAGACAAATACACGCACGCACGCTCGCACACACAAAGACAAATACACGCACGCTCGCACACACAAAGACAAATACACGCACGCTCTCACACACTGTTACAGTTTGGCACCACGACGGTTTGGAGGTATTTGTAAAAGTGCGACTGGGCACCTGGTGAAATCACGCTGTGCCAGCAGTGGATGACCAGGGGAGTGATGCACAGGACACTCGTGGGCAGAGCGTCAGGTGGCTAAACCGCAGTGAGTTGGCACAGCGGGGAGTGCGGTTTCGGTGCGTCCGGCCATCACCCGCGTCAATTTAACCATTACCTCTGGCTCTGTCCAATAACCTGGCAATGCGCTATTGCCAATAGAGCACCAAGCCTGCCACCAGCGCTGTAGTGATGTCACTCCACGTACTGGCAAATGGCAGCAGCTCATGTCTGTGTGTTGTTTGTGTGTTTGTGTGCGCACGTTCTTCAGCTTGTGTCTCACTTGGGCATCTGTCCGTACAAGCAAGCGGAATGTTTCTTCAGTCAATTCGGTTGCAAATACAAGGTATGGCTTCTCACGAACATTGTTACCGTCACAAGTCATTTTACATCCGCCACTGGGTGGAAGCTATCCGATACCATCGCCAGCCTTCACCTTCCTTCAATGCTACAATCCATTTCGCTCTTGCAGATGAACAGATGATATCGCTTCATCTCCGTGGTTGCAGTCCTTTCAGACATATCCTCTCCTTTAGCTGCCATTCTGTATGTTGTCCATCGGCCATCTTCCAAGCAAGCTTTCTTTGGCTGCTGTAAATCTCCACGTGATGAGCCGCTTCATTGAGCTATCATTTGTGGCCAGTCGCTTCTGAAAAAGAGCTCTATTGCTCAGTGGGCCTTAACCGGTAAAATAAAATAAAAATGTCGGTATTTTTTTTTTTAACGTATGTTAAGCGTCGGTACGTTTCTTTAATTAAGCAAGGTCATAAGGAACGTGTAGCAAACTGACGATGGGAGGGGATTCCAAAGTTGAGCCGTGCGGGAGAAACGAAAGCGTTCTTGACCGCCCCGTGTTGCCCACGAGCGCAATGCCCCCTCCTCCGCTGAATGTCGGCCGTCGTGTCTCGCAGGGCACACTCCAGGGCCTCAAGGAGCACGAGTCAGGTGCCACCCAGCAGCACCTGTCCCTCGTGACGGCACGCAGCGCCAACCTGGAGCTCAAGGTACGGGTGCCTTCCCTCCTCTTTCTCATGTATGTATGTTGTCTGCCGTACCGTATGTTGAACTTCTTTCGCACCGTGCATAGCCAACCGTGCCAGTGGGATGTGCAGGGGAAGGACAACAAACTTAAACACATGATGACGGTGGTGGTAATGATGATGGCTGACAAGAAACTAGACACAAAAAGCAGTTTTAAAGAAATTAGTTTTCAATATAGATGATTTAAAAGTGCGCAGCTTCAGTGGCTTCCTAATATCAGATGGAAGAGCATTCCAGACGGCCGCAGAAGCGCATCTGAAAGCGCGCGCGATGCAGTGTGCGAGTCCGTGGGTCTCTGTGCGATGAGTCTATGGGTTTCTGTGTGAGTCTATGGGTCTCTCTGTATGTACGTACGTTGAACTTCTTTCACACCATACGTAGCCAATCTAGATTATTTAAAGGTGCAAAGCTCCAGTGGCTTTGGGCTTTTAAAGTGTCTGTCTCACCGTCGTGTTCTCGTAAGTTGACGCGGCAAAGCGTTAACATCGCCCTATGCTGGAGAATGACCTCCGGAAGGGGTTATCACAGAGCTAATTGTGAGGTCAATTCAGTTTTGCCTCCTGTCCAACGCGGGCCCACTGTAGCGAGATTTATCGATTTTTCTTAATAATCGGATAACACGTCACTTGTGTCTCAACAATAAAACCAAATAACTTGTGAGTCCATCGGCTTATTTCACCTTCTGGATTAATTGTGCGTTACGCACACGGTTTAAACGTGGGTCTGGAAGTTGAGAAATCCCATGAGGTTACGTGCTGATGATGATGATCCCCCCGGGAAGTCCGATTTAATCAGCTGACACTTTCCGCCCACCTCCCTGCACCTCCTCCTCCTCCTCTTTCCCCCCTCTCCCTCCCACCGCGTGTCCCTCCGTGCACCTCCTCCTCGCCAGGTGTCCATGTTGCAGTCTCAGCTGGCGGAGAGGGCCAACAGTGCGGATCTGCTGGGGACTCGCGTGCGGGAGCTGGAGAAGGAGCTCATCTCCGTGGGGCAGACGGCCAGCAAGAACGAGTCACGCCTCGGGCACACGCAGGTGAGCGGGCGTGCACGCAGACGTGTGTGTGTGTGTGTGTACGTTGACGTGTGTGTGTGTGTACGTTGACGTGTGTGTGTGTGTACGTTGACGTGTGTGTGTGTGTACGCAGACGTGTGTGTGTGTACGCAGACGTGTGTGTGTGTGTACGTTGACGTGTGTGTGTGTGTACGTTGACGTGTGTGTGTGTGTACGCAGACGTGTGTGTGTGTGTACGTTGACGTGTGTGTGTACGCAGACGTGTGTGTGTGTGTGTACGCAGACGTGTGTGTGTGTGTGTACGCAGACGTGTGTGTGTGTGTGTACGCAGACGTGTGTGTGTGTGTGTGTACGCAGACGTGTGTGTGTGTGCGCATACGTTTGCGCGTGTACGCAGACGTGTGTGCGTGCGCGCAGACGTGCGCGTGCGCAGGCTCGTTTTTGTGCATGGAGGGCGGTGGAGCGACGCTCGCAGCAACGTCGCTCAAACAGCGGATGAGAAACGACAGGGGGCTCAAACGCAACTCGAAAACCCAGAATCTCAGCGGTTCCAGCTCCGTGGCTATTTACCCACGAGCCACCCACCCACCCCACCAACTCCCGAGACTCGTACTTTAAATAAATAACGCCTTCCCTCCACAATGCCCACACACTGCCCTGCGAAAAACCTGGTGACCCCCCCCCATGAGTTTCCCCTGCATTTGACCTCAACGTTTGGCAGGCATGTGACTTTCGTCCCTCACCCTCTCCCCCCCATCCCTTTCGCGTGCTGTGTGGCGTGCTGTGTGGCGTGCTGTGTGGCGTGCTGTGTGGCGTGCTGTGTGGCGTGCAGCGCATGCTCGCCGTGCAGACAGAGCGGCTGCTGCGCCTGCAGGAGTCGATGCAGGGCACGACGCGGCGCGCCGACCACGACGCCCTGCGCGGCGACCTCGACGGCACCGCCGCCACGCTGCACGAGCTGGGCACGCGCGTTGCCGCCATCGAGGAGTCGGGGGGCAGCGTCACGCACTCGTCCACACCCACACGTCTCGGTGAGGGCGGCACCACCCACTCAGCCACTCGCCACTACCCTCAGCCACTCGCCACTACCCTCACCTACTCGCCACTACCCTCACCTACTCGCCACTACCCTCACCTACTCGCCACTACCCTCACCTACTCGCCACTACCCTCAGCCACTCACCACTAGCCGCACCTACTCGCCACTACCCTCACCTACTCACCACTACCCTCACCTACTCACCACTACCCGCACCCACTCACCACTACCCTCACCTACTCACCACTCACTTCAGCTGAAGTCCTTCGGTGACAATGGTATCGAGAGACATATTTGAACGGAGCACTGTGCGTAGGTAACAAGTGAAATCAGAATCCACGTATCTGTCCACCGCGTATATGTACATTTTTGCACGTAACTTACCGTGGAACCCCCCTCGCGTGCGTGCGTGCACGTGCGTGTGTGTGCGTGTGTGTGTGTGTGCGTGTGTGTGCGTGTGTGTGCGTGTGTGCGTGTGCGTGCGTGTGTGTGTGTGTGCGTGTGTGTGTGTGTGCGTGCGTGTGTGTGTGTGCGTGTGCGTGCGTGTGTGTGTGTGTGTGTGCGTGTGTGTGCGTGTGTGCGTGTGCGTGCGTGTGTGTGTGTGTGTGCGTGTGTGTGTGTGTGCGTGTGCGTGCGTGTGTGTGTGTGTGTGCGTGTGCGTGTGCGTGCGTGTGTATCTACCGGTATCATCACTCAACGCCGCGCTCCCTCGCCGCCGCCGCCGCCGCCGCCACCACCACGCAGCCGCCCTGGACTCGGCGCTGAGCCGTCACGATACCCAGCTGTTCGCGCACGACACTCGCCTCGCCGAGATGGACCTGCGCTTCCAGGTGCTCGAGACGGCGAGCTACAACGGCAAGCTGGTGTGGAAGATCCGCGACTACGCGCGGCGCAAGCAGGACGCGGTGAGCGGCCGCACGCTCTCGCTCTACAGCCAGCCCTTCTACACGTCGCCCTTCGGCTACCGCATGTGCGCGCGCGCCTACCTCAACGGCGACGGCGTCGGCCGCGGCACGCACCTGTCGCTCTTCTTCGTGGTGATGCGCGGCGAGTACGACGCGCTGCTGCCGTGGCCGTTCCGCCAGCGCGTCACGCTCACGCTGCTCGACCAGGGCGCGGCCAGGCGCCAGCTGTCCGACACGTTCAAGCCGGACCCGGCGAGCAGCAGCTTCCGACGGCCGACGTCCGACATGAACATCGCGTCGGGCTGCCCGCTGTTCGTGTCGCACGTAGCCCTGGAGAGCGCCTCCTACCTGCAGGACGACACCATCTTCATCAAGGTGGTGGTGGACACGGGCGAACTCGGGGACCCGTAGGCGGGGTGGTCTGTGGGGGGGCCGGGGGGGATTTGGAGGCCCCCCCCCCCCCCCCCGCCTTCTCCCCACCACCGAAGAGCTTCACGTGGGATCGCACGGAGACGTCCGGAGTCTTGAGGCAGACGGCCTGGCCCCCCCTTTTAAGTGACGGGGACGTCCCCCCAGCCTGTGGAGCGTGAACGATATTCACGAAGTCGTAGGCTGGTGCTTTAGGCAGTGGGCCTCCTCCAGAGGAGAGAGATTTGATTTGTAGTTGAGAGGTTGATTTTACTACAACTGCTGTGGTGGGGCCTTGAGGAAACTGTCAAAATTCTGAGAAAGTTGAATCGACGATGAGCAGATTTACGTTCAGGAAAACCAAGGTGTGCTTAATCCTGATGAAGAGAAAACATCGGCCGATTATAAATGTTTTTCCCTGGGGGAGTGTTAACGATGTGTGTGGTGATAAAAAAAAAATGTTGCATTTGTGACCGTGCACTACGACCCAAATAGCCTCTTGACATTGAGTTCATCTGACAACTCACCCCTAGGAAACAGGCGAATTCTTAACTTGATCTGGTGCTTTCGTGACTGCAGGAATTACTCTTTGTTTTTTTCGGTGTTTTTATTCGCTCATGTGATCAAGGGCGAGTGAGTGACCTTGCGACCCAGGTAGCCCCTGTGAGGGGGTCACAGTGCACGAATTGCAATTAAAAGGTTATTAGTTCAAACACACGGCCAGGGTCCACCCGGTAATTCTTTCCTGCAAGGTAGATAAAAATAGGTACCGCTTTGTAGGAAAGGGGATGTTTATTTACCCGATGCGTTAACTTGCTAACCTCGGCAACAATATTGAAGCTACACCACTGGCTGAGGGATATAAAATGAGATGAGCCATACCTCGTGCTCGCTTCAACTTGACACAACTTTGACCGTTTCCAAGTCCCCTCAAAGTGCAATACATCGATCTTCCAAGACTTAAAATTCCCTCCCGGAAGAACCTTTTTTGTCTCACTCCTAAAACCGCTTGCTCACAGCTCAAGTCGCTTCATCATCACTCGAAAAAACGCTTTTCCTCCTGGAGTGTTTATCTCTATCTGTGGAGGAGACACGTGGAAGACAATGGAGAGACAGGTCCAGTGAGCGTGTGGGTTTTCTACAGAATGATCCAGATTTCTCCATAATTTTTCTCCAGATTTCTATGAAATTTGTCAAATTATTTGCTTTAATTCCATTATTAACACTCAAAACGAGATGATTTCAACACCTGTAAAACGTGTATTTTATTGCTATGCAATTTTGTAAACATTCACCCTTTGTTGCAGCTCCACTCGTTATATATGTAAGTTCGTTCATCACTTCTTGTCAACAGCCACGTTGGACATGGCTGTTGAGTGGCTTCGCACTGTAGACATGGCCCAATTTGACACGTTGGCTTTCGCGACCAATACCATCCATAATACAGGTTTTTTTCGGTTAGATGTGATCACATTTACCCCTCTATTTAAGGAACGAAACAGGAGGACCTCTCCACAAATCTGGCTGCCGCCTGATGAAACTAGTTGTAATTAATGTGCAAAATGTCATATTGTAAATGTTGTGGCTTTGCTCAACACACCAGTGTGCTGTACTAGTAACGAATTGGCATGACAAACCTTACTAATTGTCTGTATTAGGTGGTGGCGGGTTTAACGACACATTTATATATTTACGCGATCTAATCCCAAAAAAAAACCTCTTACGGATGGTCCAATTTCACTCTCGTAAACTGACACCTGTGCCCCTCTGGCCAAATGCAGTTGCACTGCCTCCACGCCCAATAGCTACGCCACACTCACCCCGCCGTCGCATCCCCCCCCCCCCCCCCCTCTTCTTGACCAACCTAACCCAGCTGCAAACTCGGCTGCTCTAACCCTGCTCAGCTGGCGCCAGCGAGCGTCGCAATCAGGTCACAGGTTTAAATCCCAGCTGGGCGTCAGTGCGTCGTCCGTTCGTGATAAAAACTGAAACACCACCCACCCACGCCCCCCCCCCCTCCCACAACTTCATGGGGAAGAGTCAATAGCAACGTTTGTACGAAAAGACTTTCCCCGTCATAAGAATGTTGAAGTTTTACGGAAAACACCGGCTCGCGGCTGCCAAGGGTGATTCATGTCGCCAGAGACCCGTTTTGAGCCAACACCTGAACATTTTATTCCATTCAGGGAATGGACGTTGTGGTGTTAATAGTTTGTGTTTGGGTGTTTTTATTCCAGCCTTCAAATGGCTCGTTTTTTTCCGACAAAAGCTATGGGTCTTTTGACATGACATTTGTTTTGTAAGGTGGTGGTGATGATGATGACGTCTTCACGGCATGTTGCGGTTATTCGTACAATGCTGCGTGACATTGTGTTTGAACCGGCTACTGCTCGACTAGGAGGTGAACAATTGTTATCTCTTGGTGACCCAGCTGCTCTTGATGTTTTTTTTTTAAACGCAGATATAAATAAATCTAAGTAATTTTTATACTTTGTTCCGTACGTTATTGCGACCTTTAATGACCTTGAAAATATTTTTTTAATAAGTTGTATTTATTTAATTGTAACTGTGTACATTTGTCTACATTTGTGCTTGTTTCACCGACGATATCACGAATATCTTACAGACACAGAAAAGCATTTCCAGATCTCCCTCCACAGGAGCGAGAAGCTTATGTCAATGCAGCGAACGGCCGGAAGCGAAACTGCGGGCGTTCATCGGGCATCCATCGACGGTGTATCTTACCCCAAACCATAAGCACTATGTTGCACTTTGCTTAGCTGCGAGAGTGGGATGGTTGTTCGCTCGGCACCATTCTGCCGAAGAAAGTGTCGGTAAATGGGCTTCGGTGAATTGACTATTGTATCAGGGTCGACTCAGCCCATCATTCCCTTCAGGGTTGATTTAAAAAAAAAACAGTCCCAATTTATTGACAGTCTCCAAGAGTAGTTTTCCTGTGGATGACTTTACTTCTCGCGGGAATGTTGGATCGCCACCACCGGCTCAGAATACACTGTAACCTTCGACTTGACGTTGGTCACTCGAGTGAGACCGAACAATTGAAACTGGGCGCTCTTTCTGAAACCCTGATGTCAAGGCTCTTTGTATTTTCGAACAGTCAACGTTCAGCGTCGGCTTGTCGGCCACAGCATCACGAAGTCTCTACACGTAACCACCATTCTCTACCTCTCGTCTCCGGGTCTCATCTCATCTCTCTCTCTCTCTCTCGTTTATCTAATTTCTCTATCGCCAATCTCTTGTCTTACCTACAGCTGTGTCATCTGTATCTATTGTTAATATCTCATCTCACCCATCTGTATATCTGTGTCTCGGCGAACCGTATAGCACAGCGGGCCACTGCAAGGTCCTGATTGTGAGCCAGATTGTGAGCCCGGTGAAAGTACCCTGCCTCATATCACTGGCTTTAGCTCCTAGCTAATCTCATTGTACAAGAGGCTTACTGGCCAGGCCTTCTGGATTGGGTGACTGGTGAGTGTGCAGGAGAATGTGGTATTTCGCACGGCACGCTCGACATTGCCAACGTGTCTCTCACTGGTTGTCAGCGAACTCTTGTCCGTCGGCTTCAGTGCGTTTGTGTCATTTAAGCCCAGAGGAAGCGGAGGATTGGTCCTGTAAATGTATGACTTTATTTATCAATTCGGTTGTAAGGTTTGTTTTTGGTTCATTAATTTGTTTTTAATTGGTCGATGAAACAAAACCATCACGGCCGCAACGTGGAGCAGGAGTGTCAAATATTGAACACGCGGCAGCTATTTATGGGATGGTGACGTGTGCAGAATTGTCTCCGATATGAAAGTAGGGTAACTTAAAATACAGCAGCTACAAGTGACTATTAAAACGATGTTTTACATCCGTTTGCAATGTGTGCATGTGTTGCATAACGTTTACAGTTATACATTTAACTTGCGACTCGTCGTCGTAAGAATTTAGAAGAAATGCATTAATCACTGACTGTTGACAATAAAATCTACGTGTAGTTTGTTTGTCCGGGAATGCCTTCCTGAGTCTCAAGATTGCTTTTCTCATCAGGGTCCCGCATTGGTACGTTTTGGCCAATTTTCGAATTACACGAGTGGTCTTTTATGCACGTCGGAAGAAAGCGAAGTAGCTTGCAGAACCCCCATGCACGTTGAAGGGATGACATCTTGAAGCTCCACACACACTGCCGCATTACAGCCAACTTGATTGGGAGTTTCATAAACTCCCTGTGATCCACCAAACCCTCGACTCCCAAAATCGCTGGACCATAGGCGTGCACCACTACAGCCGATTGGAAATTTGAAACAAATGAACTCGTTCTCATTATGATAGCCTCCCTTGCATGCCTGTTGTCCAGCAGTTTGGTGATTGTGGGTTGGTAGATCACACATGGATGGGGCTGAAGCTAACAATGGCCATGTCAGAGATACTATCTTGTGAGCTGAGACCACTCAGACCTGGGTTTGAATCATGATTAAACTGGGTCTCCAAGTGGAAGTATTTGATGATCACTGCCTGCTCAGCCATCGGTGAATAAACACATCAACATAACATTGCCGTGTCATTTAATTCGGCATAACCCGGATATGTGGATCTAAATAATCGATTTCCTGTGCAACATCGGTGTCCGGGCATATACAGTAGAGGAAGGCCACCTCGTGCAGATGAGAGCCGTGCTGAACTGAAATAAAATACGGCGAACCAGAAAAAGGGAATCGACAAAATATCTGAGCCAGGACCCTCTGGGAATTGAGACGTAAATAAATAATTATATAGCCAATTACATAACCTAACACGCTACACGTATTGCTGATTAACCCCTGCACATCAGCCATTGTCTTTAATTGCAAGTATTTTTCAAGGGCGACCTGATTTTTTTTGGCTTTCAGTAACTGAAAAAGAATGTTAGATCACTGGCATTTGATTGGAGGCAACAATGTGGCTCTAAAAGGAAAAATATACAATAGCCGTGTTGGCAACGCCCCTTGTATGTTGAACTTCTTTTGCACCGTACATGGCCAACCGTGCTAATCGGAAGTGCAGGGGGAATGATAACAAACGAAACACAAAAAGCAGTTCTAAAGAAATGAGTTTTCAATCTAGATTTGAAAGTTGAGGATGATGTCCTATGAAGGACCATTGCCTGAAACGTCTTATTTCCCTTTTAAGGCAACGTTATTGACGAATGAGGTTTTTTTTAGTTCAGAATATGTATTTATATTGGAGGAATCCGATGAACTATAAAGCTCTTTTTCGCAGACGTCCAGTTATTTGTGCTTGTGGAACCCCTGCCAACGCAGCAGTGTCACCAAACAGTTTGACACGTGATGGAGTGGTATTGGCAGCATCTGGCAAACGCCGGTGTTAAGTGGCATCACAGCTGTTTTCAGCAGCCCTGTGTGCGCACGTCCAAGCTACGTACATGGGACTGCTCCGATTAGCACGGTTGACTACGTACGGTGCGAAAGAAGTTCAACATGGTGGCAGTGAACGGCGTGTGCAATAAATACCCCTTGGTTCTTTCGGTAAAACCACGTGGGTATAAAAATAAAACAAAATAAATGAAGTCGCGACGTATTGGGGCGCAACACAAGCGTCCGTCATCAGGTGGGACAACCGCGCTTGTGTTGCGCCCGAAACGTCGTGAATTAATTTATTTTATACCCACGTGACTTTACCGAAAGAACCACAGAGTGTGGATCCCTGCAGTCACGGAAACTTCAAATCTCGATTATGTAATGCGGTGAGAGCAACGGACAAGGAAGCTTGTGGGTGATTGACGAATGTCAATCCCATCTCGAAGTGTCTACAACTCTCAGCTGTGCTATTCTCTCACACGTGCGCTCGTCATCTTGTGCGTGAGGTGCAAGATCGCGTGTCCCTAGCTCAAGGCGCAGCCCTGCAATTTCTCACCGCCACTGCTCTGCAGGAACGGCCCTCCTCCACCAGAGACACCTGGAGATCTCTAGCCTCTAGCGCAGTGTTCTTCACGAATTTCCAGAGGGAGATGGGCGGCCACTTTCGTCCGTGTCAGTGAGGGCCACCGCACATTTGACACCAGTGCAGGTGTTGACAGCAGCACGATGATGATGTTGATGGGGCGGTGTTTTCACTCTTTGTGTAGTGTCGAGGGCCGCACTAAAGGCCACCAGGGGCCGCCAGTGGCCCGCGGGCCCGGCAATGAAGAACGCCGCTCTCGAGGGTATTCTGACCTCTTATCGTACTTATACAGCGCCTTACTCCAGGGACTTTGGGCAGCAGTTATAAAATTGCGCACAAGGTAACAGTGGTCGAGATCAAGAGTGCGGTGGGGTTCTTATTGAAGGTGGTGGTGGAGTTATGGTGACAGGAGAAGAGGCGGAGGAGGGATTGGGGGGTAGGCATGGTCGTAGCTATGGGGTTTGGGGGGGGTCTAGCCAGATCCAGTGTCTTTGAAGAGGTGGAAGTACCAAACTTTACCCCACCCGGTGTCGTAGTCACCACATGACCAGGAATGTGAGGCAATCGCTCAGGTGGAGCCCCACAATGTTTGATTTGCCTCGCACGGTGGCACCCTCGAGGCTGTTACAGATCGCGACCTCCTCGTGCCCAATCCAGGGAGTGTCTATGTGAGAGAGTGTGACAGTATGTGAGAGAGAGGGGAGTGTGACAGGGAGTGTCTATGTGAGAGAGTGTGACAGTATGTGAGAGAGAGGGGAGTGTGACAGGGAGTGTCTATGTGAGAGAGTGTGACAGTATGTGAGAGAGAGGGGAGTGTGACAGGGAGTGTCTATGTGACAGAGTGTGACAGTACGAGAGAGAGAGGGGAGTGTGACAGGGAGTGTCTATGTGAGAGAGTGTGACAGTATGTGAGAGAGAGGGGGGTGTGACAGGGAGTGTCTATGTGACAGAGTGTGACAGTACGAGAGAGAGAGGGGAGTGTGACAGGGAGTGTCTATGTGACAGAGTGTGACAGTATGTGAGAGAGAGGGGAGTGTGACAGGGAGTGTCTATGTGAGAGAGTGTTACAGTATGTGAGAGAGAGGGGAGTGTGACAGGGAGTGTCTATGTGAGAGAGTGTGACAGTATGTGAGAGAGAGGGGAGTGTGACAGGGAGTGTCTATGTGACAGAGTGTGACAGTATGTGAGAGAGAGGGGAGTGTGACAGGGAGTGTCTATGTGACAGAGTGTGACAGTATGTGAGAGAGAGGGGAGTGTGACAGGGAGTGTCTATGTGACAGAGTGTGACAGTATGTGAGAGAGAGGGGAGTGTGACAGGGAGTGTCTATGTGACAGAGTGTGACAGTATGTGAGAGAGAGGGGAGTGTGACAGGGAGTGTCTATGTGACAGAGTGTGACAGTATGTGAGAGAGAGGGGAGTGTGACAGGGAGTGTCTATGTGACAGAGTGTGACAGTATGTGAGAGAGAGGGGAGTGTGACAGGGAGTGTCTATGTGACAGAGTGTGACAGTATGTGAGAGAGAGGGGAGTGTGACAGGGAGTGTCTATGTGACAGAGTGTGACAGTATGTGTGAGAGAGGGGAGTGTGACAGGGAGTGTCTATGTGACAGAGTGTGACAGTATGTGAGAGAGAGGGGAGTGTGACAGGGAGTGTCTATGTGACAGTGTGACAGTATGTGAGAGAGAGGGGAGTGTGACAGGGAGTGTCTATGTGACAGTGTGACAGTATGTGAGAGAGAGGGGAGTGTGACAGGGAGTGTCTATGTGATAGTGTGACAGTATGTGAGAGTATCTATGAGTGAGAGAGTGAGTGTCTATGAGTGAGAGAGTGTCTATGAGTGAGAGAGTGTCTATGAGAGTGAGAGAGAGTGTCTATGAGTGAGAGAGAGTGTCTATGAGAGTGAGAGAGAGTGTCTATGAGAGTGTGAGAGAGAGTGTGTATCTATGAGTGAGTGAGAGTGTCTATGAGAGAGAGTGTCTATGAGTGAGAGAGAGTGTCTATGAGAGAGAGAGTGTCTATGAGAGAGAGAGAGTGTGTCTATGAGTGAGAGAGAGTGTCTATGAGAGAGAGAGTGTCTATGAGAGAGTGAGAGAGTGTCTATGAGAGTGAGAGAGAGTGTCTATGAGAGTGAGAGAGAGTGGCTATGAGAGAGAGTGTCTATGAGTGAGAGAGTGTCTATGAGTGAGAGAGTGTCTATGAGAGTGAGAGAGAGTGTATCTATGAGAGAGAGAGAGTATCTATGAGAGAGTGTCTATGAGAGTGAGAGAGTGAGAGATAGAGTGTCTATGAGAGGGAGAGAGAGAGTGTATCTATGAGAGAGAGAGGGAGAGAGTGAGAGAGAGTGCATCTATGAGAGAGTGAGAGAGTGTCAATGAGAGTGAGAGAGAGTGTATATGAGAGAGTGTATATGAGAGAGTGAGAGAGAGTGTATCTGTGAGAGAGTGAGAGAGTGTCAATGAGAGTGAGAGAGAGTGTATATGAGAGAGTGTATATGAGAGAGTGAGAGAGTGTCTATGAGAGTGAGAGAGAGTGTATATGAGTGAGAGAGAGGGAGGGAGAGGGGGGGGCTGCTGTAAATCGCCGCCTCCTCTCCGTGACTCACGCCGCCTGCGGGGAGACGTGGGAGGGAGGGAGGGAGAGAGACACGGACACATTCACTCCCATAGAGACACAGAGACACGGAGACACAGAGAGACATTCACTCCCATAGAGACACAGAGACACGGAGACATTCACTCCCATAGAGACACAGAGACACGGAGACACAGAGAGACATTCACTCCCATAGAGACACAGAGACACGGAGACATTCACTCCCATAGAGACACAGAGACACGGAGACACAGAGAGACATTCACTCCCATAGAGACACAGAGACACGGAGACATTCACTCCCATAGAGACACGGAGACACGGAGACACAGAGAGACATTCACTCCCATAGAGACACAGAGACACGGAGACATTCACTCCCATAGAGACACAGAGAGACATTCACTCCCAGTGAGAGACACGGAGACAGACAGGGAGAGACAGAGACACGGAGACAGACAGGGAGAGACAGAGACACGGAGACAGACAGGGAGAGTGAGAGACACGGAGACAGGGAGAGACAGAGACACGGAGACAGGTGAGGCGGGCCACAGAGACACCCCGGACAGGTGAAGGAGACACGGGACATTAGCTCCCACCCCCCCTTGTCTCGAGGCGTCCCCGGAGGAGAGACAAGAAGACGGGGGACAGGATACAGGGGAGACACAAGGAGACACAAGGAGACAAGGGAGACACAAGGAGACAAGGGAGACGCAAGGAGACACAAGGAGACACAAGGAGACAAGGGAGACACAAGGAGACAAAGGAGACGCAAGGAGACAAGGGAGACACAAGGAGACACAAGGAGACAAGGGAGACACGAGAGAGACAAGGAGACAAGAGAGACACAAGGAGACAAGGGAGACGCAAGGAGACAAGGGAGACGCAAGGAGACAAGGGAGACACAAGGAGACAAGGGAGACACAAGGAGACAAGGGAGACACAAGGAGACAAGGGAGACACAAGGAGACAAGGGAGACACGAGAGAGACAAGGGAGACACGAGAGAGACCATGGCCGACGTGGAGGTGCATGTGGACAGCCTCATCTCCCGCCTGCTGGAGGGTACGACACGTGGAGATATACACAGATACATACACACAGATACACACACAGAGATACATACACACAGATACACACACACAGACACATACACACAGAGATACATACACACAGAGATACATACACACAGAGATACACGCACACAGATACATACACACAGATACACACACAGACACACACAGATACACACACACAGATACACACACACAGATACATACACACAGACACACACAGATACATACACACAGATACACACACAGAGATACACACACAGATACATACAGAGATACACACACACAGATACATACACACAGATACATACACACAGATACACACAGAGATACATACACACACAGATACACACACACAGATACACACACAGAGATACACACACACAGATACACACACAGAGATACACACACACACAGATACATACATACACACACAGATACACACAGAGATACATACACACAGATACACACACAGATACACACACAGATACACACACAGATACACACACACACAGATACACACACACACAGATACACACACACAGATACACACACACAGAGATACACACACACAGATACATACATACACACAGAGATACACACACACAGATACATACACACACAGATACGCACACACAGATACATACACACACAGATACACACAGAGATACATACACACACAGATACACACACAGATACACACACACAGATACACACACACAGAGATACACACACACAGATACACATACAGATACACACACAGAGATACACACACACAGATAGATACATACATACACACACAGAGATACACACACACAGATACATACACACAGATACGCACACACAGATACATACACACACAGATACACACACAGAGATACATACACACAGAGACACACCACACACAGATACATACACACAGATACACACACACAGATACATACACACAGAGACACACACACATACAGACACACACAGAGAGATACGCACAGAGATACATACACACAGAGAGATAACGTAGACACAACGTGGACACGCGGAGACAACACGGAGACAGGAACAGGGAGACAACACGGAGACAGGGACAGGGAGGCAACACGGAGACAGGGACAGGGAGACAACACGGAGACAGGGACAGGGAGACAACACGGAGACAGGGAGACAACACGGAGACAACACGGAGACAGGGACAGGGAGACAACACGGAGACAGGGACAGGGAGACAACACGGAGACAGGGACAGGGAGACAACACGGAGACAGGGAGACAACACGGAGACAGGGAGACAACACGGAGACAGGGACAGGGAGACAACACGGAGACAGGGACACAACACGGAGACAGGAACAGGGAGACAACACGGAGACAGGGACAGGGAGACAACACGGAGACAGGGACAGGGAGACAACACGGAGACAGGAACAGGGAGACAACACGGAGACAGGGACAGGGAGACAACACGGAGACAGGGACAGGGAGACAACACGAAGACAGGGACAGGGAAACAACACGGAGACAGGGACAGGGAGACAACACAGAGACAGGGACAGGGAGACAACACGGAGACAGGAACAGGGGCACAACACGGAGACAGGGACAGGGAGACAACACGGAGACAGGGACAGGGACACAACACGGAGACAGGGAGACAACACGGAGACAGGAACAGGGGCACAACACGGAGACAGGGACAGGGAGACAACACGGAGACAGGAACAGGGAGACAACACGGAGACAGGGACAGGGAGACAACACGGAGACAGGGACAGGGAGACAACACGGAGACAGGAACAGGGAGACAACACGGAGACAGGGACAGGGAGACAACACGGAGACAGGGACAGGGAGACAACACGGAGACAGGGACAGGGAGATAACACGGAGACAGGGACAGGGAGACAACACGGAGACAGGGACAGGGAGACAACACGGAGACAGGGACAGGGGCACAACATCGGCGCATGGAAACGGAGACAACACGGAGAACAATACAGAGACAACGTAGACATAAAACAGATGCACAAAGACGCACGGAGACACAACACGTGGACGCGGCAACACACGGAGACAACTTAGAGAGACACGACAGATACACACTGCGATACCACACATCGGAGACACCACAGAGACACCACAGAGACACAGAGACAGAGACACAGAGACAGAGACACAGAGAGAGACAGAGACACAAAGACACAGAGAGACACCACAGAGACACCACAGAGACAGAGAGACAGAGACACCACAGAGACAGAGACACAGAGACAGAGAGACAGAGACAGAGACACCACAGAGATACAGTGACAGAGAGACAGAGACACCACAGAGACAGAGACACAGAGAGAGACAGAGACACAAAGACACAGAGAGACACCACAGAGACAGAGAGACAGAGACACAGAGACAGTGACACAGAGAGACAGAGACACAGAGAGACAGAGACACCACAGAGACACAGAGACACCACAGAGACACCACAGAGAGACAGAGACACCACAGAGACAGAGACACCACAGAGACAGAGACAACACAGAGACAGAGACAACACAGAGACAGAGACACCACAGAGACACAGAGACACAGAGAGACAGAGACACCACAGAGACACAGAGACAGAGAGACAGAGACACAGAGAGACACTACAGAGACACAGAGACAGAGAGACAGAGACACAGAGAGACACTACAGAGACACAGAGACAGAGAGACAGAGCGGCTGTGTGCATGGAGGCAGACGCGGGCCCAGTGTGTGTGGACCACCCAGCGCTGTGTGATTATACTGTTGTTGTTGTTGTTACCACCACCAGCAACACTACTACCAACACTGTGGTATTATTAGTGTGTGGCTGTGTAACAGTGTTAGTGGTGCTGTTGTTGTTTATTCTGCTGCAGAGTGTGTAGCTGCGAGTTCTCTACCGCGTTACCGACGGGCGCTGTGTTGTTGTTGTTATTGTTGTTGTTGTACGTGAATGTTTGTCCTGTAATAAAGTGTGTGGTGTAATATGCACTGCGTGTAACGTTGAGGGGTGTGTGTGTACTGTTGTCAGAGATGCAGTCCGTCATGTGCTGCTGCTGCTGTATATTATTATGCACTGAACTCTAAGTCATACGATCATAATGTGTTACATTCTATTACACTATGTAACACACGTTTTTTTTTGTTCCTGGGTAGTAAGTGTTATTTCTTAATTGCTTATGCCCAATAAGTATAGAAAATGGCTGTTATTCCCCAAATTATGCTTCTGTGACCAGGACAGTGATATTTTGAAATGTAACAATTTTCAATAAAGCCAGAAGAAAAAACATATGAATCAAAATTAACATGTATTTATACCAAAGTAATACAAAAATGACTACAAAATATTTAGAAGTGAGAAGTTTTTCGAGATTTACGATTATACTGTAAATCACTTTAACGAATCGGCCCCCAAATGTAGTCTCCCATCATGTTCTCGTGATACTGCCCTTGGTAGTGGCGTTCAAAGTCCAGTATATCCTGGTGGAAGTGCTCGTCTTGCTCCTCCGAGTACGCTCCCATGTTCTCCTTGAATTTATCAAGATGAGCATCAAGGATATGGACTTTGAGGGACAGCCCATAGTGCCGTAGTTCTTCACCAGGGTCTCAGACAGCTCCACATAGACATTATGAGACCTCCTTTGCCAGTAACAAGATATAGGAATAGGTTTTACCCTTTTAACTGGCACAAAAACTGACACCTTTATTCAAAGCATCATGTTTGCAATAACCACAACACAAGCAGTCAAAATGCAAACAAAAAAGACAACTCTGATAATAATATGCACTGTCCTTGAATTTGTTTGGCCCACACCCGAGACGGCTTTTCTTAGAGCCTAGTCTCCATTGGCGTCTTCTGGTCCAACACCAGTGGAGACTAGGCTCTAAGAAAAGCCGTCTCGGGTGTGGGACAATCAAATTCAAGGACAGTGCATATTATTATTATCAGAGTTGTCTTTTTTGTTTGCATTTTGACTGCTTGTGTTGTGCTTATTGCAAACATGATGCCTTGAATAAAGGTGTCAGTTTTTGTGCCAGTTAAAAGGGTAAAACCTATTCCTAGCTCCACATAGTTTTTGACCTTGTGATTGCCCAAGAAGCCACGAACCACTGCGACAAAGCTGTCCCAAGCCACTTTCTCCTTACTAGTAAGCTTCTTGGGGAATTCATTGCATTCCAGGATCTTCTTTATCTGGAGTCTGACAAAGACACCGGCTTTGGCCTTTGCCTCAGACAGCTTAGGGAAGAAGTCTTGAAGGTACTTGAAGGCTGCCGACTCCTTATCTGCAGCTCTGACAAATTGTTTCATACGGCCCAATTTGTTGTGCAGTGGTGGCATCAGCACCTTCCGGGGGTCCACCAGTGGCTCCCACTTGACGTTGTTCCTCCCCACAGAGAACTCGGTCCGCTGTGGCCAGTCCTGCCTGTGGTAGTGCGCCTTGGTGTCCCTGGTGTCCCAAAGGCAAAGATAGCAGGGACACTTGGTAAAACCGCCTTGGAGACCCATCAGGAATGCCACCATCTTGAAGTCTCCGATGACCTCCCAGCCGTACTCATCATACTTCAAGGCGTCCAGCAAGGTCTTGATGTGCACTGAGTGAGCCAGGGGAAGAGACGGGTACTTGTTACCATTATGGAGCAGCACGGCTTTGAGGCTCCTGGATGAGCTCTCAATGAAGAGACGCCACTCATTCTGGTTACAGGAGATTCCGATTGCCTCGAACAGACTGGTCACATTGTGGCAGAAGCAGAGGCCATCTTGACGGGTGAAGAAGCTGCAAAAAGGTTGGTGACGCTTCTTCTGATCTGCGACTTGCGCACTTTCATCCAACAAGTTCCACTGCTTGAGCCGAGACGTCAAAAGCTCGGCATTCGACTTGGTGAGACCAAGATCTCTGATCGAGTCGTTGAGGTCTTTTTGGTTGGGGTAGTATGGGTTTCTCTCCTCAGATCCATCTCTGAAATTGTCATCTGGAT